GCCGTTCCGCCCATTTCCCGCGCATATGGAGTTCCATTGCTCGCTGGGTCGTGGGCTCCATTTCCCTTATCTTGCCCGGGCGCCAGTGCCTCCACTTCAGAAGCTCCGGTTGTTGGAGTGGGGGTGGGTCATCTCGCGAGAACCACCTCCATTGGTCCTGGCGGTCCCATTCATTCTCCAGCGGGGAAAAGTCTTCGCTCGGCTTGCCATCCGCCGTCGCCAGGAGGAGGAACCATAGGCTGTCCCACAGGTCTGCCAGGTCCGCCGCGGACAGAGGCTGGGGAAGCCTGCCTGCCGCCGATGCCACCAGGCCGTTGAAGTAGTCCGTCGGGACCACTTGGTCGACTTGTCCTACCGGAATGCCCGAAAGTTCCAGGAGCTGAGCGAAGCGGATTGCCGGCTCACCGCCCAGCTTCCTCCCCTCCTCCTCCGTGCCTTGGCGCAGGCACATCAGGACCAACAGCTCCCCGTCCGTCTGTCTCGGGGAGAAGGACTCATCCGCCAACGTGTCCCATAGGACCCTTGGAATGCGGTCCCAAAGACGTGTGTAAGGCGGGCGCAAAAGAAACTTGGTAGACACCCTAGCCATGATGAAAAAGGGGGGGGGGGGTTCGAGCCTCCTATCGAACAGCCGGGACCCAACCGCGGCACAATGCATGCATGCTCCAAACTCGCAGACTGCAGTGTGCAAATGGAGCAGGCAGGCCACACGCATCCCGACAGGTCCCCCCCAAAGTCCCGAGAATTCAACCGGAAGGGGGGGGGAGAGCGACCCAAAATCAGTCCCCAGAAACCCCCAAAAGCACAAGGGGGGGAAACCGACCCGGCGGGGGACTCCCCAAAACCCCAAGGGGACCTCAAGGAAACCAAGAGTCAGCCGCGGCCACCTTTTCCGAACCGTGGCTGAGATGGCCCGTCCTTGGGGCAGCCAAAGCATGTGACCCAATGGTCGTGGAGATCAAGCTGCCGTGACGTGTCGAATAAGAGAGGAAAACAGTGGTGAAAAACGAACCCATCAAGGAAAACCCTATACCCCTCCCCCCGGCAAGTCCCGGCGGGAAGAAAGCACATGATTCCCACATCCGACAGGGTTGTGAGACAAAACCTAGCGGCTCCCTCCCTTCAGGATCGCCTCCTTCGCCACCGAGTGGATTGCCGCCAGCCCCGACTTCTCCGGGTTGCTCAAGATGACCGACCACAGGGCAGTGGAGACATCCCCCAGGCCGTTCGAGGAGCTGAAGCGCATGCGGGGGGTGCCCGCGTCACCCAGGACCAGCCGCTCATCCCTGGGAGGCTCCGTTGGCTCCACCCTCTTGTAGAACTCCATCCGATCCCGGATCCACTGATTGTACAGCTGCTCCGGGGGCTCGTCCATCACCAGCTGCAAGCAGGTGGCCTTATCTTTGTGCCACCCCGTGATCTGGAGCAGTCTGGTCCCCCCGCGGCTCGCCCTTGCAAAATCTGCACATGTAGCCCCCCCGTGGTCTTGAACTTCTCCTTGTTCACCACTTCCCAGCCACTGATGCTGGGCAGGACCAAGCCACACTCCACGGAAGCCCAAAACACATGCTTCGTTTCCTTGGGGAAGTGCTTGTTGATGTACTTCCGGCCCGCAACCGCCGTGACCGTGGCCTTGTGCCCTGGTCTGGTGTGCGGAGCGTGGTGTCTGCCCCCCCCATGACCTTGGCCTTGGGGTCCGCCTCCTTGGCCGCTCCCCTCCCGGGGCCAACGGCACCCACGGGGGGGCAGCAACCCAGCTGCCGGATGAGGTCCTGGGAGTAGCCCAACCTGTCGTACAGGGCCCCCGCCGCCTCCTGTGGGACCTGCTCGACCCAGTCGTGGACCACGTTGCAGCGCCAGTTCACCTTCACCTCCACCATCGAAGACTTGCTCAGGCCCGCCACCAACTTGGTGTAGACCGAGTCGAAGGCCAGCGGGAGGGTGATTCGTTCGTCGCAAACTGCCCTGAAACGCAGCGCCTCCTTACTGTCATGGATGGGGGCCACCGGCATTTCCATCACGGGCAACGGGCAGTTGACGATGAAATTCTTTGCCGCCAGAAATGTCCCCATCTCCTTGAAAATGTAGCTCCACTGCCCAGGCTCTCCAGGAAGGGCACCGCCTCCTTCCTCATCTGGAGGATGTTGCCCATCCACTTGTCCGAGGTCGAGCCCTCCGCATTGCGGCCCCGGCGTTGCGTCTTCACAATCAACGGGAAAGTGGTCCAGGCCGAGTAGATGTACTTGAATGTGAACCTGTGGGCGTACACGCCCGTAAGGCTCGGCAGGTCCCACGTTCTCGTCTGCCTGGTCCAGAACACCCCATCACCTTTCGCCCAGAAAATGCCCACCACCTGCTCAGGCGCCGGGCGCTCGCCCCGGTTCACCTGAGCTCGGATCTCCAAGGCCGTGTAGATGACTGGGTCGATGTGGTCCTGCTCGCACGTGAGTGGGTGAGTCCTGCGCTCAAGGGCCAGGAGCTCCTCCTGCTGGTCCGCGCCCCGGGGGATCTCACCGCTTGCGTGCTTCTTCCAAATCCCCCCAAACATCCGGAGCTCTCCCTGGTGCCGCTTCATTGCCCAGAGGATAAGGGACAGCTTGCCATCCTCGGAGTCCAGGTCTTGCTGTGACATTGGCTGGTCCCCCCCGGGGCCAGTGGCACCCTTAGGGGGGGTCGGTGCCACCAGATCGGGCATCTCCTCCAGCAGTGCCTCCTGGTGCCACGGGTTCTGCGACGCTCTGAGCATCCTGATGTAGGGGACATCCCCCACCTGGAAAAGGTCTCGGGGTCATCCAGCTCCAGATCATCCGGCCACGCCGACACTGGCAAGGGCTGGAGAGTGTGGTTGAGCATCCATGCCTGGCTGGGTTCGCTTGTTTGCCGCCTGAGCCTCCTGAATGGAGCCCATCGCCTCAGCCAACGCCTGGCTGGCGTCCACGCCCTTCCCCTCCAAGTACTGGTCTCTCAGCTTGGCCTTGAAACGTTTTAGGTTGACCTTCCTGAGGGCACGGGCTCCCTCATTGGCCACCTCCTCTGACGGCAGGGCCTGCATGCCCTCCTGGAGAGGCGCCAGGATAGCCATCTCATTGTCCAGCATCTCCTCCGTGACCAACTCCTTGTGCCGCCGCCTGGCCGAGGCCTCCTCCGGAGTCGGTTCCCGATGCTCCCGCAAGGCCTTATGCAGCTCCTCCTTCTTCCTGATCGCCTGGTCCACCTGGGGGTGGTAGAGCTGGAAGCTCTGAGCCTCCGCCTCCTTCAGGGACCGCTGCACTTTGACCTTGATCTCCTGGCTTTCCCGGACCTTCAACGCCTCGTCGTCCGCCTCCATGGACAGGATCTCCTGCCGGATGTCCACCCGCCTGTTAAGCGGGACCGCATCTGCCATGGTGATCTCATCTGCCGTGTCCGTTTTTGGAGGGGCTCTCCCCAAGACCGTGCCGTCCACCAAGTTGCGGTCGGCCTGTGCCCGGGTACCACCGGGGCCAGCGGCACCCAGGCTTCCCCATTCCCGCTGCTGGATCCAGGTCGGCTTGCCCTCCACGATGAGCAGGTTGTAGGTGATGCCGTCCGCCTCATAGGTGGCCGAGGGTGCCTGAAAGGGGGCGAACTCCTTGCCGGGGCAGACCCAGCACTGCTTGGCTGCCTCTGGCCACCCCGTGCCGCATGCCTTGCACATGAACTTGTAATCGGAATGGCCTGCATCGAGCCTGTGCATGCGCTGGGTGCCGATACACGCCTTGTTCCTCTGGAACTGCGAAGCCCAGACTTCCTCCTGGCGGAGCTGGATCTTCATCGGGACATACGCCTCCAGGATGCGAATCACCAGGTCCTCGGTGAGATTCTTCCCGACAAACTTGTGGAACAGGGAGACCGCCTCCTCCACCGTAATGTCCCTCAGCAAGGTGGCCGCCGACGCTGGAAGGACTGGAAACAGATCCGGGAGGTCCACCAGCTTGAAGTACCCGGGTTTGCCGTCCACCGGCACCAAGGAGACGGGCTTGTTGGTCTGGGACGTAGCCTTCTGAGAGGCCGCCACGAAGCCCTTCAGTCTCTTCGTGGGTGGCGTCTGCGCCTCCTCCGGTGGCGTGGTCATCCCCCATGCCCTCGTCGCCCTCGTCGGCGGGGCCAGGGGCACCCAAGCCGGAAGTCGGTGTGGCAAATGCCACATGGAGACACTCCAGTGCACTGGAGAGGTCCTTCATCACATCGGTCGCCGAAGATGACGGGGGGGCCTCGGGCTCGTCCAACACCAAGCCGGCCGCCACTGCCGCCTCCCGTGTGCGAATGTCCTGGGCCTCCTGGCTGGCCATTTCAACCTCCTCCACGGTGAGTGTCTGGTCCTCAATCAGCTCAAAGGAGGTTGCCGAGGTTGCCGAGGAAGCCATTGCTTGGTCGGGGTTAAGTTCGAAAGTGCCACAGATCAAACTTTTTCAAACAGCTTGGGTTCCAGGAACCCGGATCAATGCTTGAGCCAAAATGGCACATGCCATTGTGGTCAAGCATTCCACACACAGTTCATGTTTCCACATGCGTTTCAACATTAACAAAATGTCCAGTGGTGGCAATCGATTCCACTTTCAAACCAACAGGGGGAAAATAAGGATAAACAAGTCTCCAGGGATATAAGAACATATTTCCGGTAGGGATAGATTCTCCTCAAAACCAACAGGGGGACAACTAATAACACACTTCCTGAGTAGATGGCCCATAACAAGTCCGAACTCTTGCTTTACCGCTACAAAGGTCTGCACAAGCAACACGGAAAAACAATGATCAATACAACGTTTCCAGGGAAGAACAGACCATATCTCCGGTAGTGAAATCGACGCCCTTCAAAACCAACAGGGGATCTTTGTTCTAAAAAATAAGAAGAGACAACATGCAAAAGCAAGCAAAGACAACGCGGGGAACAACAGCGACGAAACTCCAGCGACGAGGGAACAAACGCGCGCAGCCACTTCAGCCTGGGTTCGGACAATTCGCAGCTCTGGGGCGCGGACACCTCGGCCGCCTCATAGGCCGCCTGGTGCCGGAACTGGATCACCGCCTGCCGCCCCCAAGCCACCGAGGCGGAAACGAACTCGGGCATCGAGGCTGGGTCCAGACTTGAGAGAGGTTAGAGCCAGGTCTTGGAGTCGAAAAGCTGGTTATTTTGGCCAGAACCGCCCTTTTTTCTGGGTTCTTATGTACAAGGTTGGGCCTGCCGCCCCCAAGCCACCGAGGCGCGAACTCGGGCGAGGCTGGGTCCTCCAGATTTGAGAGAGGTTAGAGTAAGTTGGTATACCTGTTTTTCTCTTTTCGGTCGGCGAGGTTTAGTAGGGTTCGCAACCCTCCCAACAAAAAAGGAAATGGTGAGAGGTCGGGCACTACTCGGGGACCTAGGCTGGGGGGACCTAGGCTTGGTTTTACGCAGGCTTCACCAAATTTAGTTCCCTAAGGCTCCCAATGACTTTTGGGCCCTGAAGATGGGTTGATTTCAAAAGCCCCTGAGGGGTCTGGGTTTTTCATAGGGCCCGGGGGCCAACCAAAGGAGGGGTCATGAGCCTTAGGGCTTAGGCTTCTTGTTCACCAAATGCATGGGTTTCCCCGACAGGCTTCACAAAGTTCTTGGGCACCCTTTTGGTTTAACCAACATTTCTCGGTTTGCCCGATGGGTCTCTACCCTTCCTCCCAACACCAACATGGCACCTGTGCGAGAGCATCTGGAAGATCAGTTTCCTCTTCGAGGGACCGGGGAACTGTCAGGTGCCAACGTGGGAGAGAGGGTTTCTCATTGGCCACGAGCCTGTTGTTCAAAGTTGGCTCAACCAAGCTTATTGGTTTCCCCGATTGGTTTCACCAAATCGTTGGGCACCCTATGGGTCAAACATGGTGAAACCATTTGTTGGTCCACTTTCACCAACCCCGGACAATGAGTCCCTCCTTCAAAAAGCCCACGACTCATCCGTCCACTGCACCCAAACGCGACGGCGCAAGCCCAAGGTTCCACTTTTCGACTACCCCAAGATAGACTCTAAACAAGGGCTTCTCCTTGGGCAATGAACCCTCCCTGGGTTTCAGTCCAGCTTGGAGTACCCAGCCGCTCCACTTCGGAAGCCATGCGCGCCGATCGGAGCGTCTCGCCCCCCCGACCAAAGCGAGCGCGCGCCGCGAGCGCGCCGCGCCGAGCGCCGAGAAGGCCTGCGCCAGGTGCTCCCGGAGGGTCTGCTGGTGCCAGAGCCGCACCGCGGAGCCCTGCAGCCAGCTGTCCACCACCTCGCCGTCGCGGTCGCGCTGAGGGGGGAGGGGGGGGTGAAGGCCGGAGGCCGTGGACGTCGGGGCCGGTGGGTGATCACCAGAAATTACCCGGGGCTGGGCGTTTCTGGTGGGGGTACCCCTTCCCCACTTTCTTCTTTGTGGTTGTAATAGGAACACCAAAAGGGAAACCACATGTTTGTCATTGTGGTTTGCTTTTTGGGGGGGATAGGGGTCCCCTAAAAACGCAAGAAGTCTACTTTTGGTTTGCGAACCCCCTGCGGAACTGGAGAGGAACCAATTCCCATTGGGGAGTCTTTGAGTATATAAGGTAGTCTAAAAAGGACTCTTGTTGAGGATCTCCAGATTTGTGGATCGAGTTGGAAGCTTTGGAAAGCCGAAACCCTTCATAGGGCAGAATGAAGTGGACAACCAGCTTGAGTGAAACGTGTCACATTATAGCTGCCAAACAACTTTCAGTATGAAAGGGTTTCCAGAAAATCCCCCACTTGCATTTGCACTGCAATTGCATGCCTTTGATTCCATGGTGCGTTTTCCATGCACGGCCAAAACCCGCCATGGCCATGGCCCCCATTCTGCTTGGCGCAGATGGAGCCAGTGCACTGGTAGGTATGCAGATGCAGGTCGGGGGAAAACCATACCTATAGGCAACGAACACCTAGAGGCAAAAAACAGTTCTACCTCTAGAGGTCTCCAGGAAAAAAATAATGGGGGTGAAAAAATAATGCCAGGTCGCAAGGTTGGTCATAAGATCGAACTAAACCTAGAGGCAACAAATACTTGGTTACCCACCTCTTGCGGAAACTGGAAGCACACCCGTAACCCGAACAGGATGGCGATGGGGCCTTTGCATCCCTTCACTTCTCGTTTGCATCGGCGGCTAGGTTCCTGAATGGGATCTCACCACCCAAAACTGGGCGCCTCGTCCGTTGAACCTATCCAAGAACTCGAGCCTCCAACAAAATGGCCCTGGCTCTTCTCTTAGGCTTGTTTGTTTGACAGGGAGCATGAGCCAACGGCCTGCGTGTTTTCGGGCTGGAAGGCCAAGGCGTTCTTCTCGTCCGACCCCAGCTTTCGCCCAAGAAGTATGTCATATTCGAGCTTGGCAACCAAAATCTGAGGATAGGCCCTTTGCACAGCTGGAATCTGAAAGACACCCAGGGAATCTCCTCTTGGGCAACATCTTGGAATCCATGGCCCCGTACATCTCCCATACCATGTTCAAAGTCAGCCCCTACTAGTAGTAGATTGAAGGGATTCAACCCCATCTTCTGACTTTCACCCCCCAGAAATCGTCGAACTCATGCCAGAAATGGGATCGAGTGTCCTTTTTTTAGGAGACTTCCAGAATGGCTTCGGCTTCCTTTTGGGGTTCTCCTTTACAGCCACCAAAAACCGGGCGGGGTATCACCTCGAAAAGATGAGCCCAACTGTGCACTGCCCACCTCTCACTGCCCCAGGCCCGCCTGGAGCAACAACTCCCCGCGCCGCCGCACCCGGTACTTCCGCCGCGTCTCGCCGCGGCTCAGGCGAGCCTGAGGCGACGTCACCGTGAAACTCCCATGAAGGGACCAGATCCCAACTGACTTGCTTTGATTTGCCTAAGCCCCTTGAAACAAATAAACGTATTTCCAACAGTGATAGGGTTTTGTTGTTTAAACCAAAAGAGGAAGCTAAACTATATTCTTGTTGAATGGAAGCGGAGGGACCAGAGCCCAACTGAGTTGGTTTTTTTTTAGCTGAAGCTTCAAGTTTCAGTGGGGTATCTCACGGCCTGGACCACCGCAAAGCTGTTCGAAAGCGGCCTCAAATCTGGCGCATCTGGGGTTGTCATGGGACTTGCAATTTGGAACTGAGTCTTTGCCGGTTGTTACACGCATCTTGTTGAGAAAACCCTAATTGGGAAAGGCGTCTCCAGGGCCAAAAACACTTAGAGGCTAGTTTCCCACAGAACACTGTCAACAAGCATTCGTCTCAACGGGCTGGAACAAATCCAACATGATCCATCGACTTCCTGTTCTTGGCAAAACCTGACATCCATGGCAAATCAACATAAATGCGAGCTTCCCACGGCATCTTCACTGGACATCAAACACTTCCTTAGTGGCAACTGCAGAATTGTCACTGAAGCAGGAACTCAGGGAGCGATATAATTGTTCCCCCAAGAGGACACGGGAAATGCAGTGACTCCCTGCCCTTCCCCAATGGAAGGAATGGGCATTTTCACCAAAATCAAAGATGTTTGGTTCTTGGTTGTTTCTCTTTGTCTTGCTGGTGCTCAGTAGGGAATGAGAAACGGAATGCCCCCTATGACCATCCCCTGTGGTTTCCTTTATTCGGGAATACCCAACCGGTTCATTCCATTGCACATTCCCTACCTATCGCACCAGCAAGTTGTTTCCTTCTAGATGCTTGGTTTGGGTTCCCTTTGTTTCTTTGTTGATTCCCTTGGGTTTCCCTTGGGTTTCCCTTGGGCTTCCCGTAGGTTTCCCTTCACCTTCCCCCACTTTTTCCTCGTCAAGCCCACCAAAACGGGGGGGGGTCCGTTCCCCCTCGGTCCACCGTCCCACCGTCCACCGTCCATGGGCGCCCGCCGCCAAGAGCCACAGCTCCAGCAGCTGCGCCTGGCGCAACGCCGTGACGCAGCGGTCTTTTGAGGATACCTTTTGTTTTGGGGGGCGGGTAACCACACCAAGGGACACGAGTTTATTTTTCAGGTCTGTAAAACGACCAACTTTGGTTTTTGTTACTAAGGTTGGGTTGAAATTCAGTTGAGAAACGACAGGAACGCCTCCACTTCATGCTTTACGTAGTTCTTTACATAGCATGCGGGTCGTATACACAACGGCCATGAAGCGTGCCAGGTACACATACCCATCTGGGCGAAGTGCTCCTATTCACAAACTGGAAGGGTTGCGTACGTATGCTTGTTTTACCCCGGATCAGTGGACTTGTTCGGCACAATCTGCCCTGCTGTTCACCCCCCTCCCCCGCCCCACGCTGACACTTTCGGAGGTCCAAACGAGGAATTGTTGGGCACCGGTTCCATTTCAGGTCAGAAACGCATACATGTCCTGTGCAAAAAAGTGGAACCCTGGTTATGTTTTCAGCATTTGTTTTTTTTTTTTGGGGGGGGGGTTCTATTTCAAAAGGGCTGGGCTGACAATGGAGTGTTGGCCAATCCTGCCCTCCCTCAAACATGGAAGCTCCCAGATGGCCTTCCGGGAGCCTGAGGGAGTGTTGTCCATGATCCGAAAACCACTACTTGTGGTGCTACAACGAAGGCAAGGATCTCAAAGATCGCATTCCAATGGCAAAGAACCCAACAAACTCGGGGAAGAAAAGAAACAATCAGCATTGGAGGTGGGCCATATCAACTATTAAGGCCAATACCAGCTGCCTTCGATTGAATTTAGGACTCCGTTCTTCCAAGCCCCTTTCCCTGAATCTCCCCTTCTTGATCAACGCTCTCAACCCCGCGTCCTAGCCATCTACATGCTAACCTTCTTCGTTCATCCGTTCAAAAGTGGGCGACCACGTCTCCGATGTTTTCGGCCCAGAGGTTGGATTCAGACCGACGGAGCAAGGGGCCCGGCAAGTTGGAACCCAGCTGATGGTTTTTGCTTTTCTTCAAGGGACGCTGGGGGCCTGTCAGTGATAGTTTTTGTTTGATGGGAAGCTGGGGTCGATCGGCTTGTTTTTTGAGAGACGCTTGCGGGCTTCCGGAAGTTTTGAACGTCTGGTTTTTCTCAAGTCTGGTCCAAACCAGGACCCTGTCAGGTTCCTTCTGTGAAAAGGGTGGGGGGGAAACTTAGGTTGATTTCTCCCATGTCAGGGGGATTAAAGGAAACTGGTCCAAACCACCCCCCAAAACACTTCCAGGTTCCTTCTGTTAATCTGCCGCCGCACGCAACCACATCCCCACCTATCGCACCAGCAAATCAACCGCATCTATGACTCTCTTAAAAATTAACATGGAACCCCACAAAGGCGTCCCACAAAGGCGTCCTGCCAATCCACCTATGGCTGCCAATTTTATTGGTTGGAACCCCCCTGAAAAGTGATGGACATACCCCCCCCCCCGAATTTTGACGTCCAATTCGGATAATGAGAACAAGGGCATTGGGCCCTTCAGCCCCCAGACCTCCCCGGACGTCCTCCAAGAGCTTGGTTGACGTTGGAAGGGGAGCAGAAATTCACATTTTAGCAGTGAAGTGGATTTGGATTTCAACCACTAAACCACAACATGATTAGAGTTAGGCCCAGTTATAGAATTCATATCGTATTTTTTGCTTCACTTTGAGACACTGCCAAGTCCAGACAGGACAATAAGCAAAATCTAGATTTCCACCACTAAACCTCTCTCTCTCTCTCTTTCATCAGAGGCAAGCTCCTCACAGCACCTCCCACTAAACGATGAGAACATGTTTCCCAACAAGAACCATGTAATTGGCGGATTGGGTTGGTGGTTTGGTGGTTTGGGGGGTCGCTTCCCATCTTTCAATCCCTAAACCACCAATCGAAGCCAACAACAACCATCAGAACTCGGTTGCTTTCTGCTCCCCTGCTACTTTTAGTGGCTCAATTCGGACAACCCACGAGTCGGCAACAAGTTGAAGTCCTAACATCCCTTGGCCAAATGCGCCAAAGTAAATAGAGAGGAACAGCAAACATGTCAAATACATGTAAAATGTTGTTTGGAAAAACGTGTTGTTGTTGGGAAACATGTTACATGGTTGCAACATGTGGCCATGGGTCAAAATCCCGCACACCCACAGTGAACCTCCCAATCCAACCACTTTCATTGGTCCTAAAATGGGTGGTGAATTCACCTATCCCAACCAAAATGGGATCCCAAAACGGTTTTGACAACCACAGCCACGTGTTGGGAAAATTTGCAAACCTGCCAGCCGCTTCGCCCGGGTCCGCGTAGCGCTTAGGCGGTCGCCTGGAAGGCAAGCAGCTCCGGGCTCGCCGCCAGGCCCCGCGCCGCGAAGCGCAGCAGCTGGGGCGCAGCGAAGCGACACGGCGAGGAGTGTTCGGCCCAACGGACCCGGCGGAAAAGAAAAATACACGTGAAAAAGGGGGGGGGGAAGACACGTACAAGACACAAAGCTTGAAAAGGGAAAACGGGGGGGGGAAAACAAAAACATGAAACAGGAGGGGGAAACACCAAGGTGAAAAAGGGGCGATCCAGGAATAAAGTTGGGGCCTTGACAAGAAGTGAGCCAAGAAAGGGAAACCAAGGGGTAAATAGGTCGGGTTTGAACAACCGAGGCTCTGAGTTCAGCCTGGGCTTTTCCGAGTCAGATCCGGTTTTTATTCGTGTTGGGCGAGTGAGTCAAATGAACCGTGAACAACATGTGCTTGACAAGTGGCAAGAATGAATCGAGGTTGGAAATGTGGGGGAACCGTCATTTTCCAAAAGGCTTGAAAAGCGAACCGCCCAAGCAAAAGTTGACCATGCCAACTGGAAATATGGGAATGCGAGGGCCCAGCGAACACTTTCGGAACGAGCCTGCAGGTCTTGCTCCAAACAAGCTATGCTATGGCTGACATGCTTCAGGTACTCAGCTACTATGACCAGACCCGGCATTGCAGGGGCCTACCCAAAACCATGAACCTATCCACAACATGTCGATTGCGGCTCAAATAATATTCTCCACGTCCGCCATGTCCGCCACACCATGTCTCAGTCTTGTGCCATTTGGACGCTTCTTTCACCATGTCTGGTCAGATGCATGGTGGGTGGCTTGTGCCGGGTTCGACTGGTCGAACCAGGCACGCCATTCGCAGCAGACAGAGTACTGCAGCTGTACATCGTCGGGATGGACTCGTAGGGCTTGATGGTGATGCAGCAGGATAAGCCGCAAACCCGTTGAAATCCGGAGCCGACGTGGGCGACTTTTCTTAAGGGTACCATATTGAGGGATTGGCGTAAAGGGAAGCCACAAGGAAACTCGCCTATATTGAAACATATCAATATCAAAACCCAAACCCTGGGGTTTGGGGCATACACAAGTGGTGCTTCTTGTGGGCAAGTCGTTTAATCCAGGGCACCTCAGTGCCAACTTTGTCACCCACCCTGACGGGGTAGTGTCGGATTTGTGGTAAGAAGCCTTAGGGAACAAACCAAAAGCCGAAGAAGGTCGAATAGGACAATCACAGTGGGCGGGGTGCTTAGGCAAATGGCAACCCAGAAAAAAAAAAGGAAAAAAAAAAACACCCAAGGAACCCGCCAGTTTGGGTGCACGTGCAGTGGTGTAACCGATCGGAACCCGTTTGTTAGAACCTGGTTTTCTGTCTGGCCGTCTAGCCAAACAATGCTCCAAATGCGGAGGGCCCCCTGCCGCACAAAAATTTAGGCTTGGGGCTGTCCCTTACACGTACCCGCACTTTGTCGCATGTGCAAGTAACCCCCAAACGAGTTCTCAAACAACAAACCAGCAAGACAAAACCAGAAACAAGGTAGAAAACAAAACAAATATGGGAGGGTCTTTTCTTGCGGGGGTACCCGTTTTAAAGGGGAACCAAAGGGAAAATCCTTGCGCCATTTTGGTGAGTCTCCCCAAAGAAGACGAGTCACCCGAATGAAAAAGCAAAACGCCCCTCCCTCGTCAGCCACCCGGTTTTGTCTCTGTCCCAAACTAGCAAAACAGCAGAGCAATCCCTGAAACAAAGTAACAAACAACACAAACAGGAAACAACATCTGAGTCATAGTCAAAACCCGGTAGTAAAATGGTCTACCCAGAAGAATTCGGAAGGCGGCCGCAGCTATTTATGGTTGGGATTTTGTCCCTTTCTAACCTTCATCTACCCGGGTTTTGATTGTGGCTCACACTCACATGGCATAAAAGCTTGAATGGTCTAGCCAAACAATGTAACCATTGTGGCTCATCTAGGCGAACTTGAAGCTTTTCAGTGCCTCCTCGCAACCTCCATCTCGCATCCGCCCGCATCGACGCATCCATGCGCTATCCGCTCGCCTGGCCGGCACAGCGGCTCCGCCGGAGGCGCCATTGGCGCCGCAGGCGCTGCTGCAGCGCGCGGCAGTGCCAGGCGGTGAGGCAGGCCGTGGCGGTGAACCTCGGCGAGGGCTCGGTGGGGGGAGGGGGGGTGGATGGTGATGGGTTGATTTAAACAATCTAGCTGTAACACCCAGCTGTTTCCCGCTTTTGGTGGGTGAGAAGGTCAAGGGACCCTCTAGGATACCTCCAGACTCCAGCTTGACAACTGTTCGAGGGGGGATGGGTGAGGGGGAGGTGATGTGGGTGGGAAGGGCGCGACTTTCTCTGAGCTTTCTTCGGTTTTTTTTGGTCGGGGGTCCCCTTGGGGTGTAAAACCGGGGGCAGCCGGTGAAATCGAGAAACCAGCTCGGTGTGGTTGTTCAAGGGTACCTCTGGTTGGCGTGTGGTAAGGGAAAACCAAACTGGGAAGGTGTGATTTGTGCGGTCCTCGATTTTGTGACAAAACACACACACACACAAACAAACAAAGAGCACCACCTAAATGAAAACCCTTTAGCCCTTGAGGTCAGCACCCCCTAGTTAGGAACTCATGCTTGGGGAAAAAGGCAGCGTTCGGTGCGGGCTTTTGGACCAACAGAGGAGTCTCACATAACCCAGTAAAGGCCCGACATCATGGGGAGCTTGTTCTGGTTCAGGTGAGCTCGTCACAAACTGGGCAAGCGCAGCTTAGACGTTTCGGCCACGGCGTCGGGCATTTCTGGCTGGAATCTGAGAACCAAATCGGTATGTTTTGGATGCACCACCTGTGGATTGATTTAGCCATACGTTGCACATGAAAGGAGCATGCTAGAAGAAACGATTGAAATACAAAACGGATTTAGAACACACAATATTAATGTGTGTACATATCATAAATTCCATATGAATATCAAATCAACATAGATATATAGGTATGGTTTTGATGTACATTCAGGCATGCACTCACAAATTCTACCTGCGAAATGCTCGACACTATGTTTCAGAGCTCCAAAAGAGGAAACACGAGGAACCCAATGCGCATCCAAAAAGGTATCAAGAAAAACCAGTAGAACGACACACCCTTCACAATGGAGCCCTGGAGAAGTTTTTCATGAAGACCCCCGAAGTTGGGCCCCGGACATGGAAGCTTGGCCAATCCTAATCCATCCCCATAGGAAATCCCTTGCGTAATGAACCCAAGGACCTTGCGGACCTTTGCGCAGACGCGGAAAAAACAAAGGAAGATATCACAGAAGTGGGGCCACTGAAGCTCTGAGCCGCGGAACTCGCCTCTTTCTCTCTCTCTCTCTCTCACTTTTTCTCGCATCTTCTTCATGAAAAGTAGGTAGTCGAGCTATGGAGAAGAAGCGCGCCAATCCACCCTCAGCCTGGAAAACCCTTTCTTTTGCACCTCCGCGGATTTTTTTTCTTTGCCACGTCGTCACTGAACGCCTCCCAGGCGCTGCGCGATCTCCAGGGCCCGGCGCAGGTTCAGCGCGTCCTTGGTGTCCCGCGCGGCTGCGCGGAGCCTCTGGGACCGCGCCAGGCCGTGCCAGGCCGAGAAGCTTTGGCCCAGCAGCGCCTACCAACGCGAGCGAGCGAAGAAGCGAAGGGCTGAAAGGGGTGGAAGGGGAGATGGACAGGAGGCTAGTTGGTGAAGGTCAGGAGGTGGAACAAGAGGTGGACAGGAGGTGGACAGGAGGTGGTCAATTCTATGTTAGTGGGCAGGAGGCTAGGCAAAGATGGGGGTGAAGATTTTGTGGCTCAGCAGCGCCTCCGAAGGAAGCGAAGGCGCTGGCTGAAGAGGTAGGGGCAAGAATGGTGAACGCATGGTGAAACAGCCCGCCCCCGCCCCCCCCCTCCCAAAAAAAAAGGGAAACAGGAACAGAAAAATGGCAGCAAAAACTCAGATGGCGAAAAGCATGCCAACGATTGCACACCGCACAGCACCCCCATAGCACCCTCACCATCAATCTCGCAGAACTGCGCACATCAAGCAACACCCCAAACAGCATCCCAAAACAGGAATCCCCCGAAAACCAGCCATTCTTCGGGGACCACATGTTTTTTTCGAACCCCCCCCTGTCTGATCCTCGCCCCCTTTTGTACCTCAAGAAGAGACCTAGGGAAGCCACCTATTCAAGAAGGCGTTTTGATTGGAAGACCAAGGCGTGAATCGAACGACAACAGGCAACCGCTTTCGTTCGGCGGCTCGCTCGTCCAGCCGTCACGAACCGGGGCTAGAGTGAGAGAAAAACAAAAAACTGAACCCATGAAGACAATGCTAGGCTGGAATTAGGACCCCAGCAAAAAAACATCGTTTCTGCCTGGTTAGTGGAAAACAAAGGGACCCCAAAAAAGCAAAAAAGCAAAGAGGGGAGCCAATTCTGGGGAAGAATATAGGTGTGCTTTTTTTGAGGGAACCCTTTTGGGTGGTTTAAATGGGAACCAAAAGGAAACCCCCCATTTTCGGGGTCCTCGCATCTTGGCTTCGCAGCTCCGTGCAACGAGGCAAGGGACTTGGCATCCCGAAAAGGAGAAGTTGCCTATTATCAGGGGCACATGTTGATACAATTCTCATCTGCTCAGTGCTCATCCAGCCAATGATTCAGCAATCTCACGAGCACTACTTCCAGCACTCTCCAAAACAAAAAAAACAAGTGCCCCCACGTTGCCCGGTGACCCCTGGCAGAAAAAGTCACCTATCACAACCCTTGAGGTGAGACCCATCCATCTCCCTCCCCCCCGCGCACCTGATCGGAGCTGCGGAAGGCTTGCCTGAAAAGTAGCCAAAGGGCGTGGACATGCCGCGTATGTGTGTGTGTGTGTGGGGTCTGGAAACACGATGTGATCTGTTTGTTTCTTGTTTGCTTCAATCACTTAGGATCAACATGTCTATTGTAGTGGCCCTTCTTGGATTTTCGGGGAATTGCGAACACGCTGAGGTCTGTTCAGTTCCCTGGCGCGGGCAGGGATTTGGCTGTTGCTGCGCCGCAATGAACCTGTTCAGGGGAAAGGGTTCCGCAATGATTTCAGGTTGTTGCGGTGTCCCTTCTGAATGGGCAGCTGTGTCTTGTCTAGTTCTGTGAGCAAGCGAATGTCGAACGATGACCACAACCAGAACAAGCGGCACAGCAACAACAACTCAGCAACACAACAACGTGCAAATACGACACCGTGGAATTAAACAACTTAAGTGCTTAAAACGTAAGTTGCGAGGTTCCAAGCGCGAGCTGCCGGTGTGCTAAGTAAGTGGTATGTCACATACCGGTGATGCCACAACAGAACACAAACACGCATGAAAACAAAAACAAGCACAAACATCACGTTCACAAGGGTCAACTCAGTCGAGAGAAGGTACGCTGGACAAACACACAAGTCGACAACTTTTAGCACACCACACGCACAAAACCATGCCAATTTGCGAGCACAAAGAACGGAACAAAAAGCACCTGGGAGGAACGTAGCAAAAGCGGTTTTTGGAAAAATGAGCCAACATGGAAAAACCAACATGTTGAAAGGTCAGCCTTGGGAAAGTGAGTTTCAGCCAAATGAAAGGTATCCCTCACGGCCTCATCACGTTGAGCTTCTGCTCGTGGGCCTCCTTCTGTCGCTCCGCGGCCTCACACCGAGCAGACTGGGGTCACCTCGCTGACTCAGTGAGCGAACTTCTTGGGAAGTCATGTTCATTGAATTTGGATGGTATTGGATGATGGTTTATGGAATTTGTATCAGGTGCTTGGATGTTCGAAACATTTGGTGAGTTGGTTGCAACCATGAGGGTTGGTGGGCAAAGAACCATGGTTGTGTTACTCACCAACTTCCCACGTGTGTTGAGCATGCAGGTGCTGCTATTTGTTGGGGGGGGGGATTGGTTTGGCACAACCAATCCCTTAGACCAGGTATACCTTGGTAAGTGGACCCAAAGACTAAAGCCTGCGTGACCCTGGCTCTTTGATTTGAGCCACACCCAATATGACGTTTCCTCACCCTCCACTCGCCGGCCTTTCGCGCTCCAATCACGACACTATGCGTTGCCAAGAAGCGGTCACCCCAACATTTGGATGTTACCCCCAATCGCGGCCCAATCACCAGCCTTCCGCAATGCAGGTTTTGCCAATCGTGCACAACTAAGTTAATTACCCGAGTACATCAATCGAAGACATGCATTTGCGGACGGCCCCCACTCCATGAGGGGGGAACCCCTGCCAAAAAACGAGTTCATACAAGGGGTGAAACAGCCTGCCTTCCTTGTTGGTGGTTCGTGTTGAAAGGGAGCACTTGCAAAAACCCCGAGTTAAGATTTGGTTGGTATAGTTGGGTTAAGGGGAACCACCCACAAAACAAGCACGTTGACACCAGAAAGCTACCCCAGGGCGATTCCCGAGCTACCCCCGGATCCACCCCCCAAACAGACCGCGGTGCGTGAGAGCTGCGCCTCCCGCGCAGCTGAGGCGTGCCAGGCGTCCTGCAAGCGGCGGCGCTTTCCGGTGACCCTCCGACCGGTGAGCTTCTGGCGCCCACTACCAAAAACGGAAAATGAAAATCCCTTCATGATTAGAGTTAGGCCCAGGCTTCCAGAATGTATATCTTATTGTTTGCTCTACTTTGAGTCACTGGTAAAATGCAAAATGTATCCTAAGTCTACCCCAGCCTTACCTCGGTCCAAAAAGATCCCTACTAAAAGTACGACCCTTCCTCCCACGTTGCCATGGCACCTGTGGGGAGGCACCTGGAAGATCAGCTTCCTGGAGGGACCGGGTCCCGAACGTCAGGCGCCATGGAAACGTGGGAGAGAGGGGTACCCAGTGGATCCATTTTTACCTGGTACAAATAAATACCCAGAGGAACCCCAAAACAAAATCCAACCTGTTTGGTAGGAAACCAAACGGGAAACTGCGAATGAAAAATCCGAGAGGCAAATGGCGAAGGGTTATCTATGGTAGGTCCTGGGATCCACTGGGCTAGCATCGATATTCGGTCTTTGTTCCTGACGGGCAGGTCCCGAAATCGTTTGGCAACTCAGAGAAAGGCGGCACGCTTCAGCAGCTAAACGATTTGGATGGGGGCAATTCTCTCTTTGGATGCTTTCAACTTAGTATGGCCGCAGCGCTCAGGTGGAAAGCTAGGAAAGCCTAGCCGTAGCTGGGCTTGTCTTTTTGGAGAGGACGCCTTTTGCGCTTTGTTCAAGGGAAACCAAAGGGCCATCCGGCTTCAAACAGCACTGAGCCAGCTTGATCGTGGAATAATATTGTTCTAGGGGCACCTTTCCCATTCTTTCCAGGGATCCTTCTGTCTAGCAAACCCACTGGAGACCCACGAAAAACGCAGGTGTTGGAAAAGAATTATGGTTTAACAGAATGGGGAATCAACCGATAGAACTGTGGATGGACACAATCCTGCTCCAGCTGAGATCGATAGTGAACTGTGGAAAAGGGGGGATGGAAAGGGGGGGTGGTTCCTCTGTCTACCAGCTGTAAATGGTGCAAACAAATTGGTCCATCCGCAGGGCGATGTGTCCAGCAAAAACAAGAGTGAGGGATGCCCTCTTCAGTGGAACACCCCAAGCAAACTCAACGAAGGAGCTGCTCGCAACCCTTACAAAGCGCTGGCCTACGAAAGGCGCGTCAAAGTACAGAGATCTCCATCTAAAATTTGATACCCCAAATCCAGGCATCCCTGAGCCCACCGGAAACCCGTTTAACACAAAACATGTGTCTGCCCGCGTGGGGTTCCCCCCATGACTGGCCTTCTTGATTGGGGAAGGTTGGGTTTTGACCTCGAATAGACATGGGAAATTCAGATGAGTCAACCCCAGCCTACTACAAGAATGTTTTACCCCTCCAATAGTGGACTGAATCCCCACTAGACCCAGACGCCCCCCCCATATTCCCAGTGGATCCGTTGTGTAGGTAACCCATGGGGTTGAACCACCCGATATTTAGAAACCAAAAGGAACATAGCGAAGGCTACATATACTAACGCCTGGAATCCGCTGGGATGGCGTCCCTAAATTTCGTACCCCTCCTTTTAACCAACCAGGAGTTCCACTAGATCCGTAATGTTGACCCTGGATTAATAAACCCCTGTATACCAATGAATATTATGGGGGTGTCCCTGGTTTTAGTGAGGATTCAGACCATTTTTGGAGGGGCCCCCGCCCCCATATTAACAAACAGGGCCCGGGTTGATTGATATGGCGTCAACATTCATAAATGACAAGGTCTGGAAAAAGGGGATATCCAGGAGGGGCAACAACGAACTCGAACTCGGCACCCTTGGTGCTAACCAACCAGGGCTTCTACGAGATCCAAAGTTTGGTCACCACTATACCGGTCTTCCCAGAAAGTTTCAAGTCCATGAACTCAGGAAGTGAGTTTAACCAACCAGGGGCTCTTCTAGGATCCGCAATATTACCCCGGATGAATAAATCCCTGTTTATTAATCTGGAATATAGGAGGTGTCCCTGGGTTTTGGTGGAGATTCACCCCACTTTTGGAGGAACCCCCCTCTTTTTCACCAACCAAGGCCTCTACTAGGATCCGCAACCAAAGGTTTAGTCATCCGAAAACTCTCTTGAGAAGCCTCAGCCCACCTCCAATCACACCCGAAACCGAACCCCCTGGCGCCCGGCGACAACCCCCCGCACCCGGTGGGAGTCGTAGACGGCTTGCCGCCACTCGTTAAACACACGCGACCTGGAGGCGGGGGCGTGTGGGCGCGGCACCGCGAAAGTCGGAGATGAGGTTCCATTTGCTTCTTCGCCTCCTGGAACAAAGAGCAAATATGTCCAGTAGTGATATCGATTTCCTTTAAAACCAAAAAAGGAAAAAAACATATTCATTTCAGCAAATGGAAGTTGATGTTCCAAGTCCATGTGAGGCTTTTTTTTTGGTGTGTTATGGCGGCTCTCAGTCCCCTTTTCAGCTTGATCTAGAAGAAAACCACATGGGGTGTACTCCTATTTTGCTACATAGTACAGATCTACACTACCCGAAGAGGCACTTTGCCGCTTTGAGCCGTTACTTGGACCCTTAAGGAACATTCATCAGGACACTCGATGTAGCCTAAAGCTCGCACTTTTGCCGTGCAAACTGCAAAACCCATCCACCCCTCTCCTGTTACATAAGCTGAAGGTTGCCCTTGCAAAAACACCGCTAAAACTCTATAGGGCTTGATTCCCCATTCTTTTCAACCACCGCTCTTTTCGAACACCGGATCCGTTTCCCCTTGGATTCTGCTGGTTTTCTGAAAAGATTTGGCTCCCTGGACAGGGCTCCGAAAACATTATACACCTGTGTCCCTTTGCTTTGGTGTTGAAAAAGCAACATGTGTCAACTGGTTGCGAAATGGAGATCTTTTAAGGAGCCCTGGAAAGAATGGAAATGGAAGTGTCTAGAAAAACTGGCGGTTCTCTGTGGAAGGGACACCCCCAGGACTTGGAGCCTTCGAGATAAACTGAATCAAGAGGGTCGAAAATTGACTGCGAGTCAAGTAAGTTGTTATTTTGGGGGTTGGGGCGGATTTGAAACCAAGGTCAACTCAATATATCCTTCATCTTTTGGGCATGTGTCAAAGCTTTTGCCTGGCTTCTCAAAGGTGCGGTTCTGCGGGATCCTTGTGTGGATCCGCGCCTGGCAGAGCTTGTCACCCTTCCCGCTTTGCAAAAAATAGCTTTCGGGGATAAGCAAAAATGAGCAGGAAATGGAGGGCCATCTGGCTGTGGCTCACTCAGGTTGTCTTTGGTTCCGTTTGCCAAGGTGCCATTTTGGTACATTTGTTTGAGCCACACCCATCTGAGCACACAACTTGTGCATGAACAACTGCCATCCCAACGTCCGAACGCCTCAGCATCTCATCGTCCAGCATCAGCTGGCCAAAGGCAGAAGTGAGCGCCTTGTCCTGAAGAATGCTCCGAGAAAACAACCAAAGACCCCATCCACGTATGATCTTGAGTTTACCCAAACAGATAACAACATGTACGGGGATGAGCACTTTAGTGTGGCCCCCTCCCATACGGCTGTGGCTGGATGCATGTTGGCTTCCTCCTCGGGGAATTTCTGTGGGTGCTTTGCTTGGTTGACGTTGGAGGGGGAGCAACAAATGTATTATTTTGGCAGCTAAGTGGGGATTCCCACTAAACCACAACAAGAAAACATGTAAAATGTTTCCCATCAACCATCATGCCATGAAGTTTTTGGATTCAATATCCTGACAAGGCAGGAGTCACCGAAGCCACACTTCAAATTTGCCAACAAACATGTGACAGTGATGTTTCAAACATCCCAGAGAGAGCATGCGTGACGACATTCAACACCTAGTATCCAAATGGTCCACCCAAAGCCCAAGAAGAGCTAGTAGGCCGGATATCCGCACCTATTTCTGGTTTGGATTACCCCTAACCTTCCCTTACCTGGCCTTTGAGTACGGCTCACATAACTTGACCTACATCTGGCGTCCATGCATACAATCCAATGTTGCGATTTCGTATGGGTTTGGCTCATGGCGCAGCCCCCGAAGGTTTGTTTTTGGGCGGACCCCTTCAACTGATACCCTCAAACCAGGCCATTCCAAAGACTTAGCCGCCCCATCATTTGTCTTTTTGAGATGAAACCCCAAAGGACCCTTGCGGTACCTGGAAAACATCCCCCCCCCTCCCCCCGGAACTTTGACCCCGAGGGACCCTAAAAGTGCCTGGAAGACAACTCCCCCGGCCCACGCTGCCGTCCTTCTTTTCCTTCTCCAGCTTGCCCTGCATGAGACACCTTTGCCACGCCTCGGAGGGCTTGGAACAAGAAGCAAAACGCCGCCTCCCAGCTTCGGGCTGTTCAACGGCCACTTCTCTGGGGTGCCCCCATTGGTGGGTTTTCCTTTTGGTTCCCTAACCAGCCACGAGAAAAGGGTACCCTGACAAAGACAAGCTCACCTTGGATGGGCCAAGGTGATGATTGAAACCACCAGTCACATGGGACGGACCCAGTGTAAAGGCAGAAACATATGGACTCGTTTGCTTCGAAAAAGACATGTTCCCCACAAAAGTTGGCGTCCCACGCCACAAGATCTTCCATATGTTGAGCCTCAAGTGTCCGTCTGGAAAAACATGAATGGATTCCACGGTGACTAGCTAGAAACCAATTGAGTGCGGCGAGATCTAGCTATGTTCAATCCGGCTCACCTAAAACAACACCTGTGCCTTCAGTTTCCTGAAGCCTCAAACTCGAAAGATCTCGCAAGGGCTGCCTCTAGCATCGTCCGTGCAAATGCTTTCATAGTTGATGAAGTCACGCATCAGCATGTGGGGGGATTGTCAAAAATAGCGGGTGATGAGCATGTGTATTTACTCGGGAACCAGGCTGAAATGGACCGAAGTGGGCTAAAGCTATTGACCAACCCAGGGAAACCTGAAGGTCCACAAATCAAGGCCAGAGCGCCCTGTCGAACTCTAACCAAACGGACCTTACTTAGGGCCAAAATCACATGTGTTTAACCTTCAAACAATTCCCTTGCCATCAAGTTCCAGAATATGGGCTTGACTTTTTTTAGTAGGGACCCAAAATGGTGGACATCATCTAGGTGGGGTTTCAAGTCCACCAACCACTTTCCAGGTGGTTCCTTGTTTAAAGGCGCCTACGCCCTGAACGCCCGGGACCTGAAAACTTCGGCCTAGCCCCGGCTACGGCCGCGGCCATGAAGAGCAAGAGCTGCAAGGACTCGCTCTCCGCGTCTCGCCGGCCCCTGCCAAGCGGATCGATCCGTCGGATTTGTGGCTCATGAGCGCATGGCCTTTGGGAGAAAAATCGATGGGCTTCCCTGGTAAATGGAAAAAAGAAAACATCCAAACCAGTGAAACCCATCTATTTTTAAGGGCTCACCTAAAAAGGGCACCTAGGTTCATGGGCCTGTGGTATACCAAACTTTCACTCGATGTCCGGAACACTCATTTTCTCAGTTGTTCAGTGACCCTGGAGAACAAAGAATTGGAACCCTTTTTGGGGCTTGGACCATTTTCAGTGAAGCAGCCGCCAAAAAGAAGGGACAAAGAATTGGTATTTGGTGCCACTGATTTTGGTTGAGTTTAAACCCTGAGGATCCCAAAGCCCTGTGATGAGGTTCGTTCACTTCAGCTGAAGCCCTCAAGAACCATCCTCGAAGGTCACCCGGATGGCTGTGAGAAAAACGAGCGGCGCCTTTCTATATCTTCCATCCTCGTTCTTGAACACATTACTTGGCGGGACGTATTGGGGGATTCCAGAGAGAACATGCCCACTCTAAAAGGAGCCTTCTGGTTGTTTCAAAATCAGTTGGTGAGCTTGTTGCAGTAACATTGTATACATCGGCATATGCACACAGAGAGTTACCGCATTTGGCCCAAGATCCACATGTTCTCCCCTTGTGGCGGGTATCTTACATCCTAAAGGGAGCTCGGCCACTCGCCAATGGCGGGCCACCGAATTCCTCCATGTTCGCTGGGCAAAGGCGCGGCAAACATCGGATCGGGTGTGCCGTTGGCCCAGGGAAAAAGGGTCTATACGGGGGTTGATAAATATTCCTGGCCCCAAATGACCATGGGTAACTTTTCAGTGGGAAGTATCATGTTTTTTTTCAGTGGAACTATCATTCAGTGGGAAATAATTATCTCCTTTGTTTTTGGTCTCCTGATGGTCATCGACCTTTTGATCAACCCCCATAATATGTCTTTCCCTAAGGGTCCCTTGGCACTCTCTGAGGAGTTCCTTTGTCGCCTCTCAACCCCTCAACAAAAGCCATCCTCAAGGCTGTCAGGGCACTCTCTGGATTTTTTCCAGGTTGGTTCGTCACCCCTTGCAAATCAAAACAGGAAAGCCCAACGAAAAGGTCCTCCCCCCTGGAAGGGCACTGCAGATTTTTTTGAGTGTTGTCGTCTCTTTGGCGGTTCTTCGGTTCTTGCTGACCAAGAACTGCATCCGGTTGCCCCACGCTGAAGCGAGAATGTCGCAAAGGCTTGACGTCGTTCAACGGCATCAAAGGCATGGGTCACGACAAACAATGAACATACGTTGATATGGCCATGGGTCAAAACCCCCAAAACCCCCAGTGAACATCCCAATCCCCACTAAAATCTCGATTAAAATGGGTGGTCCATTGGTTTTGAGCCAGGGCCATTTCGGACGACACCCTTGCAGCCGCCGCGGCCCATTCTTGATGAACTGCCCGCAACCCTGTCAAAAGTCCTTTAGGCGGAACTCTGAAGGGGATCTGTGCGGTGTCGCAAAGAAGTGAAAACCAACACCAGAACTTCCCACAACCACGGCCGGCGACCTTGGAAACGCGGTGGGCAATGACCAGAAACATGGAGCAAGCTCACGGGGCCAGCACTCCAACTCTGAGGAAGCTAGATTCAAGTTGATGCCCTCATGATGTCGACCCCGGGATGATTTATCTGGCACATTAATGTTGACCCAGATTAATCAACCCCAGTGATTAATAGGGGGGGTGTCCCTGGGTTTAGTGGGGAGTCATTACTTTTGGAGGGGAACACCCAAAAGTCATGAACTGGGGTTGAGTAAAAGCCGGGGGGCAACATTATTGGGGAGGCGTTCGCCCCAAAAAGATGAAACACCTCCTTGGCCCTCGCTTGCCTCAGCGCTTCCAGCGCGCGGCCCCGCATCTCCCGGCGCGTGCAGCGCAAGGACTGGCGCCAGAGCGCGCGGCAAAGAGGAGCGACAAGTAAGTTTCTGGGCTGTCCGTTTTCAGATCTGCTAAAAGCGACTAACTTTTAGTGGGTTGAATGGACATTACCAATAAACCAACTGAAAAGCTAAAAAGCTAAGGGCTTATTTTCGCCGTCCAGTGCGTACAAAAAAAAAAAAACGGGCTAAAATAACAGCTGGTGTCTTCTCAAAGAAAGCTAACCATCAGGAATTAACAGCTGGTGCATAGGTGTTCTTTGAGAGGAAATAGATGGATATCCCTGGTAGATGATTACACCACCAGGTAAACCAGGCATCGCCCTCGATTTTCCGACCAAAACCACCAAGAAGGACACCTATGAGCTGGTGTCTTCTCATCCATCCCCTTTTGGTGCCAGGGCCCAGGCCCGTTGCGCCCGGCATCCCCTCCAACGAACCTGCGCGGCGGCGCGGCTGGCCAGCGCGGCATCGGTGTCTCGCTGCCAGCCGTGGAAGCCTGGGAGTGACGGACGAACTGGGCGATCCGTTCAGAAGTGACTCGCTTTTGGTGGGTGCAATGGAAACTACCAAGCACCAAAAGGCCAAAAGGCTTCTTGGGCCGGATGGCCTTCGGGAGCCACCAAGTGAATACATCTTCATATGTTGCCTCCAAGTCCCTTGAAGTTGTCTTACACTAACTTGAAGATACATAGCCCTTGGTTGATTTCCGGAGATTGGGGCACCCTCAGGCTGACGCAGCCGCCTAGTACCCAAAAACCAAATAGCGGGTGCCACTGAATTCAATTCGGGGTTTGCTGGTGGGGAAACATACGTCGAATTCCCAAAAGCTCATGGCTACGAGAATCAAACCCAAGAGCAAGCTGAGTGCAATAGCAATCTCCGACAACGCGAAGCTGTTTCTTTGAACAAACAAGTCCTCACAGTGGGGCGCAACAGGACGGAATCGTTCGGACCCGGACGGCCCCTACCAAGCGGTGCCCGCACATTGAGGTTATTCTGGACATACTCAATGTCTTCCATGTGTGAACATGGCGCCCAACAAACACATACTACCAGCAATTTCATAACCATTTCCCTGGAAGCCAGCTGCAACAGTAAACATCAACCCACAACGCACGTGGAAGTCGTTGTTTCAGGATCCATAACCTATACTGAAGACTGCACCGCTGGTTGTGTCCTAACATGTTAGTTTTCTTAAATTGGAATGCCCTGTCAAAGCCGGGCCTCTGACATTCATGACAGGACAGAACTCGGATAGAGTTGTGCCCGTCCGTGCGAAAACGGAAAAAAGCGCGTGGATATCCCTAATGGCCAGGGTCTCTACAGAATCTTTACATTGCGGGCACTCCCCTGCATATTCGATGAGCGCCTAGGACACGGGGTACTTGTTTTGTTGCAATTTCAACCAGGGAACGGGAAGACCTCCGCTTCCACGCAAGCCTCGCGGTGACAACAAAAACTAGACTTCTTGCAGCTCAAGTAGCGTAACCCTATTGATGGTCACATTGGCAACCTAGGAGCCTGGCATTTCTTTGGGATTCCTTTGGATTTCGGAGCTGATCTCCCCGTGGCTGGACTCAAGGCTCACCACAAACAAAAGTACAAGTGACTGGGCTGCAGCCTAAGCGACAACGCAAAGCCTTTCTTCGCAGTCAAAGCCGGCAACTTGCACCCCAATTTGCGCCATTCAGTGATGATGCTTCCTTCATGCAATCCAGTACCCTACCGCTGAGCTTGTAGTAGCTTGGACAAGACTTGCTTGCCGGGCTGATAGCACACTCAGCACAGAGGGGCCTCAGCGCTATCGCTCTGAGCCCGGCCCAATTGCATGATGACGATCAGCTGGTCGACAACTTACCAATCCATGCTATATCGCGTCGCAGCTTTCGAATGCGGCTTTGCACTGATCGCACTGCGTGTTCCAGCTTTGCATCGTCCAGCTGAGCCTGCAAGCTCTGTGTTGCATCCGTGAGTTTGACAGTGCGCGCATAGAGCAATCTGTCCTGCAATCGCTTTATCTGCAAGGCTCTCTGGCAGCCCTCAGCGTCCAATTTTCGGTACCTTGATTGGTTGCCCTTGTTTATGCTGCTCCCAAGCCGCATCGACTCGTGTCCAAATGACTGCTCAGGGGTTACGCATACGAATTCTGCTGCCTCGCGCTTCACAAGCAGCCCACATGACAGCAGCCGATGCAACACCAGTAGGCTTGCCTTGTTGCTGCCAATGACAAGGCGATGCTCAGAGTTGCAGGCACGTCGAACATGTAAATGGTTGCACTCCAAGACTTCTGTCTGCAAAAAGACACAAATGGCCTCTAGCACAGGGCGGTCCCGTTGAGAAAACTGAAGCTTGACGCCACTAGCAGACGAACGGACCTGGATACAACCTTCAGCATCGAAAAATCCTGCCACATACGACCAGGACATACAAGGAGGTCCCACACGAAGGTCTGAGCATTCTGTTTTACGCTTGAGAAATTTGAGCCGTTCGGACGAAGATAAACGCTCATTCGGGCACCGAGGCCATGTGGCGGCAATTTTCAACTGCTCACTTTTGGTAAGGCTAACAGATGCCAACGATGAAGCAGCTGAGCGAGCCTTGGCTCCGCTAACTTGCCATTGCAGCATTGGCTGCGTCATGCCCTGTCCAGGTGAACGCAGGGAAACTGTGCCGCCAAAGCAGCGCAGGTAAAGCAGCAACACGTCGGCAGCAGAGGCACGTTGTCCTACCGATAATCTCACACCACACAGATTTGTTTGGCAAGAGACACATCCATCACCATCAAAGAAACCAGCCAAATATTCAGCATTGGCTTTCCATTCCGCTGCTGACGGCTCTACATGCCACCGAAAAGGCAGCGCATATGTGTCACCTTTGACTGCGAAACATGCGGCGCAAGGCCATCTCAATGTCCGCATATGCCTCTCTAAGCGTTTGCTAATTTCTTCCAGTTTCGTCAAGTACTCCTGGTGAGGCATGCAACTTTCGACGGTCCAGGACGAAGAGCTGCTTGGCAGACGCAAATTTGCCGACACCGCGAAGCATGATCTTGTCAGTCGGCAAGCCGTCAAGGGCACAAATGAACCTACTCTCGGATACAGCTGCATAGCAGATCCCCAATCTGGCGCATTGAAGGAAGGCTCCGTGCGTCGCAATGAGATTGGTTGGAGGAAACAACGCGGCATTCAGGGTTTTGCACTGAAGCCAGGCAGAATCAAGAAAATGTCACACTTCAATTTGATGCATGCCTCCTCAATCAGAGCTGGCCACCTCCTTGTTAAGTGGTCGGAAATATTCTTCAGGGTGGAGGCTTGCCAACAACAGGCCCCCTTGCGCCACCTTTCCCGAGCCCAAAGCCCCCGTGCAGAACCCCCAACATAAAGCTTCCCCAGTCTGGTAAATGAGCAAGCAGCTCAAGGCTTGTTGCACCCCTCACTTTTTCAACAAAACACAAACAAACAACATGCCAATGACAGTGAAGTTGAGCCCTTATCAATTAGATCATAAAGCTATGGCTCCTGAAATTCATGTAAATTGACTTCGACAAGCCCAAGCTCCTGTTGCCAAGGTCCCGCCCCAACGCTCTTAACAAAGGAAATACATTCTTTCTTGTTGTGGGTTCACTGTTGTTGCTTGCGGGAGGCACTTGCATGTCTTCGTGGAATATGGCGCGCAGTCATCATAGCATTTTGACGGAATCATGATACGAGCACTGCGAGTGGGGAATACTTCACGCACAACTTCCTTGTCAAACAACACCATCATGGAAGGTCTCCCAAACCTGACCAGAGTGGTGGAGGCTGCCGAAAACGCTGAGGTTTGGGACAGTTGGGATCATCCCCAAGTGTTTCATGGAATGCTTTATTGATTGGCCATTTCACAGGGAAACCCAACATGGAAATTGTGACCACACTTGTTCCTCTTTTGTTTGATGGCTTCCCCTTTCCAAATGGCCAAGCCCAACTGAGTAGAGGAGAACCCAGCAAGCATCTCGAATCTCTAGCAAACATCCTATGCCACTTCACCACATCGCTGAACCGAGTTCCGGGCACGTAGTCAAGAGCATCTCCTTGCAGAGAGGAGGGTGGAAAATTTTTGGGGGCAGGTCTCGACGGACTAGCTAAACTTGGGAGCCTAGAAATCATATTGATTGGTGGTTCAGGGGTCCAAATAATACCCTCAACCATCAGCCTCATGTTGCCACACAAAAAAGGCTTTCCAATCAACATCGTACAATTGATTGAAAGGCATCACATTACGATCCCTGTGTGGGACGGGAACACAATTTCAGTGTTCCTGTGTCTTCCAGTGGGGTGGGAGATCGGCTGACCCAGTGTCCTTGTGCTGATCGCTGTTTTTTAGGGGCTTCTCGTTGTTTCTCGGCTTCTCTGTCGGTAAGAACGGGGAGCAGTCAAAGGCTGATTGTCGGAAGAGTCTAAAATGAGGGAATCCATGGGCGGCTGTGGTGAGTTGCTTGACCAAGGGGTGTATGGGATCTCACCACATGGTGTCTTTGTGCGTAAGCTGCCACTTTGCGAGCCCACGTGAAGACACAGACCCACTGGTAGTCTGTATGTGGGGAGGACATGGGGGACTAGTCATTGTTTCATATGCTTTCCCAAAAGGAGGGGAACGATTCTGCATATGAAGTAGCAGGCTGTGCATTCTCCCAAGTGGATCAAGTGGGTTAAAACGGCAAATCCTGTGCCCAAAGGGTCCAAGTAGGGCATTGGACTTTTCGGATGGTTGATTTCCAGGAAACAAATTAAAGCAAAAAACAACAGGGGAAGTGTGTTTTAGACCATACACCCGCCCAACAAAGCTGGGAAGATTCGGAACCCCTTGTGTTCCACAGAACTCAAGAAAGCAAGGGTATGGGCCCCTGATGTTGAAACAGGTAGTGAACGTTAACCGAAACAACGCAAAACACACGTGGTTGGTGGTTGAGCAACTAAAATCAAGGCGTGGCCTCCTTCCCCCTGCCCCTAGGCTAACATATGGTCCAAGTACCTTCCAAGGATGTACTTAGGGGGTCAGTACATCCTCACAAGGTACGTGGGCCTTCAGCAAACCCCGGAATGAAAAAGAACTTACCACCCTTTCAAATCAAGAGCACAATGGATGAGTACCAGTTAGAGGGGAGCTGAACAAACTTTAACAACAAGAACAAAACAACAAAAAAAAAACAAGGGGGGGGCGGGGAGAGGGGCACCCCGACCTCCCACATGCTCCGCGCAAGACCCGCCTCCAGACCGCCGGTCCGGGCCGCTGCGGCACGGAGGAAGCTGCACTTCCTCGCCTCGCCTCACGGATCGCATCGGATTCCGCGGCCGGGAGGCCCATGTCTTGGGCATTCCCGGCGACTGGTTTCCTTTTGGCTCTTGACACCGTCCTAAAAGGGTTCCCTATTTTGAGACAAGTCTTGGAACCGTCCCATGAGACCAGTGTATAGGTATCTGAGGGAGACCGAGATGATGGTAGACCTAGAATACCTGTTTCCTTGCCGGTGCTCAGCAGGGAATGAGGGACTGACCGCTATACAAACCTCATACACCATGTGGCTTCCTTTGGGACCCCCAGGTTGATTCCCACATCCCCTGCTGAGCACCAGCAACTGTCCTTTTGGCTCTCCCTGAAACCAGCCAAAAGGGTCCCCCTATTTTGAGATACTAGTTTCGGTACCTAGAGGAGGCCGAGATGATGGTAGACCTGGAGCTAAAGATCCTGTTACCTACTACCTGGAGATTCCAATGCCGAGGAATTCCTAGGCGTTCTGGTTCTCAAGGCGTTTTAGGCGTTTTAGGCGTTTTGCTTTTTTTTTTTTGCGGGCGGTTGCCCCTTTTTTGCGGGCGTTTTGCGGCAATTTGCGGGCGTTTCCTGTTTCTAGGCGTTTGCGGTAATTTGCGGGCGTTTGCGTCCAAAACAGGGTCAATGCCGAGAATCACTAGGAATTCCTTGACGTTTGAATCTCCAGGTATACCGTAGTGGTAGGGTTATGGAAACCCTGATGTTGCACTTGTGGAGGTGGATCGATGCATCCAAGTACCCGGAAATCAGGAACTTGATCATTTGTGTTGAACTTTTGTGATGGAACCATGTTGGGTCACAATTTTGGGGCACCAAGTTCTACAATGCCGCACTCTTAGTTGCGCCACTGGTGACGACGCTTGCCAATGCCTGTTGGCACGGCGCTGTTTCCTTGAGGCGTAACATGAGCTTCCGGGCTCTCCGCTTGGAATTTGGTGACTGGTATGAACTGGTATGTGTTGCCTTTTGAGTTACCCCCGCTTTTGGGGTCTGGTGACTTTCAATCTCCTCAAGGGTGTAGGAACAGGCGAACAAGTTGGTTTTGTCTCGTTTCTTGAGTGTGTTGAAGGAGTTTCTCCATTGTCTGGGCCAATCCCAGAAAACCCAACTGGGCGAGCCCTTGCGCCTTCCCTTTAAAACAACGCAAAACCAGGGCTACCAACTGCCAAAACACAAAAAAAGACCCCCCCCCCCCCGCCCGTCACCCCGGTCACCACCCCCCCCCCCCGCGGCTTTCGGCTGGATGCCCCGGGCGCGTCTTCCTTTGGACCACGAGGCCGTGCCACTCCGCGAGGAGCCGCAGGTGGAAGGGCCTCACTCGCGGACGAGCACTCGCGGATGCCGAAGCCGCAGGGCGGCTTCGTGGCGCGCGTGTGGACGTCTGCGGCGAAAAGGGGGGGGGGGGGCGTCTGTTTGTTGGAGGCTCCGTAACCCCTTTAAGGGGGGTCTACTTTAAAAGGCAACGCGAAGTAAGGAGCCATAAACGATTGACTGGTGACCCTGGTTGGAGACAAAACCAAACTTCGAGCTTTTCTGGCAGAGGTCGTGCGACCCTCTAACCATTTACTGCCCAAGAGTCTAAGGGGATGGTTGGAACCAAGAGAGAAGTCGCTCAAAGCAACCATGAGCCCATCCAAAGAGGGGGTCATTTCATCCAACAGGAGATTCATCGAAAACAACATTCTTACGTTGTTGCCTTTCGGCTTCCATGAAATACAGTTGGGCCCCCCGACGAGACACAACAGAACCCGACGAGACACACAAGAGCCCCCCCGCCCGTCCCGCTGCAAAGCCAAGTGAGGATTCCACTGTGGCACCAACCCCCCGCAAAGAAGCGGTGAACACATATTGGCTGTGCCGCAAAATGGACCCCCCCCGCAAAACAAAAGAAGCGTGGATCCCTGTGCTGTGTGGACAGTGCTTGGGTTTTGGACATAGGAAAAAGCAAAGTTTGTTGGCTGGCTTGGGGGGTTCTTCTTTCAACATGCCATGGGTCAAAATCCAAATCGTAATCCCTACTAAAATGACTTCACCTACCAACCAAAATGTTATCCCATTGGTTTTGACAACCATGGCCACATGGCATCGATCCCAGACCCCTCCATTGGGCGCCCGGGCCCGGGCTGCTCCTGGCACCGCTCCAGCCTCGGAGGTTCGGAAGTCGGTCGCGACGCGAGGCGTCCGAGCGTCCAAGCGCTCGTTTCGGGGAAGCGAGTGGATGTTACGAGAGGTGTGTCTTTCTTTTGGGGGGCGACACCAAGAGGACAACTCTCATGTTGGGTCCGAATCCTTTAAACAAAAAGCGACAAACCACCCATATGGGTGTGGCTCAAAATTAAACTGGAGGGGCAAACCGCAGGCTTTGGGAACCATGTTTCCACTTACCAGGGTTTCATTTGGGTACCGGTTTTTTGAGCCACAGCCATGTCTTCTCACTTCCGATCGAGTGGATTGGCCCGAGAAAGCCCAAGCTGTTCCTTACCTCTAGAATAGGGTCTTCCCAAAAACAAACAGTAAATGAACTCAGGGTCTGCCTTTCGTTTTTGCTGCTAGCCTTTTGGCGGTATGTTTTCTTAAGGGGAACAAAATGCAAGCCTAACTATAGCCTATAGCTAACTGCCGTTCTGAGACGCTCGCCCCGTCCAAATTATGGGGGCAAGTCCACGTGAATTCCCTCTTCCCGGTTCATGATCATCCCTGGCCAAGAGAAAGGTGTGCGCTGACAATATCACAGGACATGCCAACAAAAACGATGTTGCGCGGACTCGGGACACAATTCCTTCGAGGGTGGAGAAAGGGGTCAACCCACCTCCTTGCAAAGTTTATCAAGGGACTCGTAGGTTGCGCGGCCCAAATAACAAACATCCTTTGCGTAGCCACCAGAGTCTCAGGATTCCCGGCTAAAGCAAACCCCTTGTTCCTTGTTGCCGGTTTAGTTTCAACGTCTCCAAAAGGACGCTTCAAGGAAACGCTCGCGTACATCTTGAGCGCTGGCGAACAGGACAAACACTTGCTCGGCGCTTCTGACACCAGAGGAGGACGCAAAAAACAAGAAAAGCACGCAAATGCAAAAAAGACAGCCAGCTTTCTCTTGACGCCGCCTGCGTAGAACACGGACGCAAACCCAGGACGCACAACGCACCCACTGGGCTTCCCGGCGCCAGCATGGCGCTCTGGAAGGCCGAGTCCACCGCGCTGCTTTTGCTCGCCTCCACCTCACAGCGCTGTGCATGTTTTTTTGCGAGGCGGTGATCCGAGGCGAGCCGTTTGGGCGACCACCAAGCACCCAATCCCAACCAAAATTGAACTTTGCAAAGATTTTCCAAACTTTGCAAAGATGTCCCAAAAATGGGTCCCTATATACTTACCGAAGATGCCTCAAACTTCGCCTTCCCCCCCAAACACAAAAACAAAAACCAAATGGCTTAAATCCGACTACCGGAGAACCACCCCCCCCACGACCTCAAAAAAACACAAAAATCGAGGCCGGCCCTAGGTCTTGGAAAATATTATTGTGGTACAAGAGTGACTTGGCTGGCCACATGAGAACTTTATCACTTAAAATGGGTTTGCGTTGGGTGAAAAAAGAAAGTGACAACCAAGCGTGTTTCGCAGTGTTTCGCAACAGTTAACACGGGTCTCCTGGCTTAGCCACTTCTCTCTATGAGAGTTTGAATGCCACCAACAGAAGTTTGTAAGGCTGTATTGATCCCATATAGATATAATTGGTGTACTAGGTGGGCGTCTTCCCCTGAAAGCACCCTCTTTGGTGATGTTTGACAAGGTAGCAAACCTCATTGGACTCCCTTTTTTTGGGCCCTTTGGAAGCAACATAGATCATAAGTACCATGTCTGGGCAACCCTGTCACTAGCCAGGGGTTCCTTGCCCCCATTTAAAGAATGGTTGACCCAATCTGGATGATGAAAATCCTTAGGCAAATTATGGTTAATGGGGATTGATCAAAAGGTTCTTTACATGGGATGACCACTCAAGAAAACCACCACCAACATGATATTTCACCCACTAAACGGGAAAAGATACTCATGCCCTTCCGCGCCTCTTCCGCGCACACAGTGGGAAGCTCATGCCATGTAAGCCTGGAAATTCAGAATACTCAACCGAATACATGGGTAGTTCCCAACCCCCAAATCATGGGGGGGCGGGTGTAACACCTGCCGCCGCGCCTGCTGCAGGTCCCGACACCTCTGGCGCTCCGAGCGCTGCAGGAGGCTCTGGAAGCGCCAGGCCGAGACCAACCGCAGCCTCGGTCCATGCTCGCAACTCACAGCGGGCTAACATCACCGTAATTTGCCTTTCCAGACGGTGTTGGGGCTTCCAATGGAAGACCCAGACCCGCCAGTGAACACCCCAGAAAGGTTTCGGGGTCTCAAAACTTGGCCGCTTGAAGGCCCAAAATCAATCGGGAGCGTCTGGGTTGTAAGGACTTTCATCATCCTTGCCATTCTTTTAATGGGGGCAAGGAACCCCAGGGTAGTGACAGGGTGCTTTGCCCAGACATGGTACTTCTGATTGGCCAAAAAAGTCCAAGATAGGCCAAGCTTTTTGTTTGCCACTCAAATGGTCCAACCCCAACAAGCGACGAAAGTCCATGAACTCAGGACGTGAGAAAAGGCCAAGGAAGGCGAATCATGGACCGTTTGAGGCAACGGAGCCTGGTTTCCTGCTGTGACAACCGCCACCATGGCTGTTTGAACCTTCCTAAAGCATCTTCGCGTTCTGAGAACCATACTGGTTGGGGGGGGATTCTACTGATGAACTGGCTGGTGATTTGAACCTTCCTCGTGTGCCCCTTTTTTATCATCCGTCTCCCTGCTCGTTAAGCCAGTCAGCTATCACGGCCTGCCTGAGAGAAACACAGATTGCTCACCTCTAATGGCCTGGTGTTTATACCCCCCCTCGGGTCTCTCAACAATGTTTGTACCCGCGTGTCACACAAAATAGTTGGACATTTGGGAAGCAAGGGACTTGAATTTAAAGGGCATGTACTACATGTCCTTCTACTCTTAGATTTGCCCACTCTCTGAAGGGGCAAGTAGTGCAGGCCTGGGATGGCCGGCAAGCACGGACCAAGGATAATGACATCCGGGCGCTCAAAGCAAATTGACCCTTGCTGCTACCAAGATGGTTGCCCATATGCGCGGTACGCCTTCCGACCTTTGCCCGATAAAACCACGTATAGGCCTCATTTCTGAAATGGCCAATGGGACCTGACCTACTGGCCAGGAAAAGCTTGAACTGTTGACGCCAACCAAAATAACCTGCTGACACACAGTGTAAAGCTCGCCAACTCAACAAGTAAGCAGCTATGAAGATGAGGGGGCTCATTGTTCTTGATGAATTAAGTTGCACCCCGAGAGACCGTGGTCTGAAAAATATCCAACCCCCACAATGGAGGTGAGCCTGCTTGCCCCTGAAAAGGGTACCTGCAAAAGAAGACACTGAATAATCAAGCTTTTGGATGTGTTTTCCCTTTTGTGGGCGGCTTTAAATGGGAACCAAAGCAAAAAAACGTTTTTTTTTGGGTGGGCGGGTCCCCAATCTGGAGATACACCCGTTTGCTTGGTCCCCTAGACCAAAAGCCCAACTCATCGTGCGCATGCAGCCTGCAATCGGACTTTTGGTGCATCGCGCGCGGCTGTCTGTGACGCTTGGCTCACTTAGAGCTCAAAGGGCAAGGATAACACCAAGACCTCCTTTTTACCGCTATCTGCTCCAGGCTGCATCCTGGTGGTCGGGGTTCCAAACAGAGTTCCAGAAAAGGGCTTCTGTTCTTGATGGTTTGCCTTTGCACACATGACCTTTGAATGCGCAACCAGACGCCCGCAGCGAGCGCATGCGAGTGCGTTTTGGGGTGAGACGAGGGCCATGGGCCCCTAAAGGCTAGGACTGGCAGCTTTTGCTCGTGCAGCAAGATGCTGTGCAGGGCCCACCTGGGATCAAGGCATTGCGCTTGCCGCGCAAACGATCCATCGAGAGATTTAGCATATTGCATTCCAATGGAAATTGACATAGAACGACAGGAAGCAAACAAGGACCCCACAAAGATCCTCAACACATGATTCGAAATTAGTATGTCAGCACTTGAGAGCTAGCCTCCCATCCACCAACGGCTATACTGCTTCCGGCATTCACTGCATTCATGAACACAGTCTGTTGCCTCCTCGGCCCCATAGTTGGATGAAGAGGACATCTCAGCAAGTGTCGTTTGGGCATTGAGGCCACAGCTGAGGTCGGAGGTCTTCTTGTAGTAGTTGCCTGGCAGCCCACGACTTTGCTGCAATCTCGACAAAGCATCTGTGCACCCTAGTTTGGTCTTCCCCAGCCTACAGGTCCCTCAACGGCAGATTCAGAAACAGCGGCAAGCCTGTCCCAACAGGTCGCCCACTGTGAACCTAAAATCAACCCAAGAGTGCACCCCGTCTATGGATCCTCTGCTTAGGGCCACCTAAAGTTGGGCGAACGTTGATGGCACTTTCGTCGATTGTCATCCCGGTATAACCAAGGTGCCAATAACCATGCGCCATCTACTCCCACTCTGTTGTTGCTCAAAAAGCATGCCAACCTTTTCGAGGCCGACCATTGCCAGTCAGGTGTGGGACAAAACAGGCCCATGTGGTGAAAACACGCACACCTGCTCCACAATTATATCCAAAAAGCAAGTTGTTTTTGATCCCGCCAACATTGAAGCATACGCTGAACAAGCCATGTACTCCACCTGCATCACATTCAAAGCCGCAGTACGTCCCTGCCTTCATAGGCACAGAAGCCTGCCACATTGTCTTTGTCCTGCTGCGTCGCGCATCTACAACTGCAGAACGCTACAGCCATTTGCCAAATGTCCCAAGGGCAGCTGGCAGTGCTTGCGTATGCGCTGATAAACCTACTCTCTCACTGCCACCAAAATGGAACTTTACCGGCTCCGCTGACTTGCCCAGTTGACTGACCAGACAAAGCTTGAGCTTGTTGGTCAATGGCGAAAACGGTGAGACAATCACTCAACAATTAGTCTTTTTCCAGGAAGGCCCCAGGCCCTGGTCTTACAAAATCGTTCAGCCTGTTGGATGTTTTGGACGCTGGTGGGGTCGGGGAGGGGCATGAAAAGCTGTCCGTTGATGCAAGCTTTGCATCTCTCCTCCTTGCAGGCAGCGATGTCGGGGCGATCCCGCGCTTGGAACCTGGGCGACGGATGTGCGCCATGGTCGAGTGGTTGCTTGCAAGTTCTGAAATTAAGTGGGGCACGCCCGTCCATGCAGTAATCTTCCTGATGCCCACAGGGAACATGTATGGGGAATGGGCCCTTGGTGAGGGTACATTGCTTAGGACGTAGGGATGGAATTTCTGCGGATGTGGTCATTTGGACAATGAAGGATGGGCCTGGCGTCGACAGGATTAGGGTTGAGATGGTGTCTTCTTTGCTTCTGGTTTGCCTGTGATCTGGGTGGTAAACTCTGGGGTGGGGGTTCGACAAATCTGGGTGCGAATCATGCAATCAGCTAAGGCGATGCCAGCCGGCATCCCGCCCTCAGGCCGAGGGGCGCCAGCGAAGTGACATTGGAATGAAGCGAGAAGTCCTGGCGCACTGAACCCACTGGCCTAGTTGACCCTGACTTCAGCAGGGAAGACTGCTGGGGCTGAATTATTCAGTGGGGAACCCATAATATAAGCAAATCAAAAGGGTGCCACTAAAAACTGCGTTGTGGATCAAACAGTGCGACAGCGACCCACCGTGCGCAAGAGAGATCTTTAGCATCATCTAGCGCTAACAATATCAAAAGCTGCAGTTGTCTTGTCCAGCTTTTTCGCACATGCACCATCACCACCTGGAACGCAAGCTTACGCACTGTGCTTGATATGACTTCGCTTGTTCCGAATCCGAAAACTGTGGGTCGCAACTGCGGGACCGGACGTGAGCTTTGGCTTCCCGCGCCGGCCGCGCCTATGCTATGGACAGCACCTGGCCTCCCTCCCGTAAAAGGCGCCGGACATCTGCACGAAGTGTGTTGCACTTCAAGGTCAGCTTGCGGGTCTCCAAATCCTCCTTGAGAAGTCGCAATTCCTCCTGAAGCGCCAACGCCTGCTCTGGTGTTATTTGCTTCCTCCGCAACTTTTGCTGTGCAGACGTGATCGCCTTGGCCACTGCCGCGGCTGATTCGTCGAGCCGAATGTAGCGACCTTGATTTCCCTTCAAATTGCCAATAGATTCGCGGACGAGTTGGTGGGTCGCGGAGGAGAGCCCCAGAACCAGCTTCGCTTGGCCACGCTTTACAAGCAGTCCGTTGGCGAGCAACTCTTTGAGCGTCTCTTTGCATTCCCTTCCCTTCCAGCAAGCAAGCTCTGTCTGACGAGTGTGGCTGTACAAACCCCAGCTATGAAGGCTCTGCTGCTGAAGAAATCGCCGAATGCATGTCAGTACATATGGGTTTAGTTGCGAGATACTCAAGGATGCCGTTGCGTGCCGGGCATCAACACGAATGCATCCCTCAGCATCAAAAAAACCGGCCAAATAATGCCAAGAGCAGGGCAAACAGCCAGGCTGATACGCCAAGTGCTTCAACATCTTCAGTTTGTCTGCCAAACTGTTGCGATCAGCCGGAGCAGCAGTGCCCTCCACTGCGATTTGTAGCTGGGCTTGTTTCATGGAAGGCACGCTGCCGAGAAGTCGTGCTGCAAGGATTGCGCTATCGCCAGAGGAGTGCCATCGCAAAGTTGCCCTGCGAGCCCCAGCACCATCTTGGTGGCGACAAATGCCACCGCCCAATGCGTCACGGAAGTGCAGGAGCACGCTTGCTTGGTCAATTGCCTGGTTGACACTCAATTGAATTCGGCCAGTACTTCGGTTCATTGACACGCAACCATCTCCATCAAAAAATCCCGCCAGGTAATCGAGGTCTTCTTGCTTCAACTGACCTGCAGGCGCTGAGATGGATGAAAGAGGCAGTGGAAAGATCCTGCCCTCGACTGCAAACTCCGTGGGCTGCGGGTGCTGCACTCTTCGCAGCAGCCCTGATAGACGCTCTGCACGCCGCTGCAAGCTCGCGAGGGACTGGCTCGGCACGCAGAAATGGCGACTGTGTTGCTGAAAGCAGGGGGCGCCAACCCTTCGCCCCAAAACGGCCCACATCTGCCCGAGAGGCTCCTAAGCACGTCGCCCAAACCTAGGTCGACTGGGGCGAGAAATGAATGAGGCAGGGATCTGCGGCAGTAATTTTTCCATGTGCTGCTACGTCTACTGCTGACTCAGC